GGCGTGGTGGCTCATGCCTGTGATCCCATCACTTTGGGAGGCCGAGGCAGGCGGGTCACGAGGTCAGGAGATGAAGACCATCTTGGCCAACGTGGTGAAACTCCGTCTCTACTAAAATGCAGAAAATTAGCCGGGCGTGGTGGCGCGTGCCTGTAGTCCCAGCTACTCAGGAGGCTGAGGCAGGAGAATTGCCTGAACCCAGGAGGCGGAGGTTGCGGTGAGCGGAGATCGCGCCATTGCGCTCCAGCCTGGGTAACAAGAGCGAAACTCCGTCTCAAAAAAAAAAAAAAAGAAAAGGCGGTGGAGGTTGCAGTGAGCCAAGATCATGCCACTGCACTGCAGTCTGGGTGACAGAGCAAGACTCTGTCTCAAAAGAAAAAAATAAAAAGGCCGGTGGGCAGATCACGAGGTTGAGATTGAGACCATCCTGGTCAACATGGCGAAACCCCATCTCTACTAAAAATACAAAATGTAGCCAGGCGTGGCAGTATGCACCCGTAGTGCCAGCTATTTGGGACGCTGAGGCAGGAGAATTGCTTCAAAGGAGACATGGATGGAAGCCAGGGAGCCCCCAGAGCCAGCCTGTACCTGAGTTTCCTCAGCCCTGGCCCTGGACACCGCCTTCCTGGACTGAAGCTGTGGTCAGTGTGGGGGTTGGGCTCCTCGTCGCCCACAGGGGCCCTGAGGTGCGGCTGCTGATTCCTCATCAAGCCCTCCGGACACGAATAGTGCCTCTAGCATCCCAGGGCCTGCTCTAAACAGGCCACAGACCCAGACCCCCAAACACCCAAAGCCCCTTGCAGGACCACATGGGGAAACTGAGGCTCAGAGAGACATGAGATTCGCCCAGGCCTCTCCTGATGGTTCATCAAAGACTTCTCGTATGCCAGGTCTCAGGATGCATCGCAGCTCCCTCCTTCCTTCATTCACCCGTCTCACGTGCCAGGCTTGCTGGGCACGGAGGCACACAGCTGCCATCCCAGCACTTTGGAAGGCTGAGTGGACAGGACTGCTGAACCCAGGAGTTCTAGACCAGCCTGGGCAACAGAGCCAGACCCCGTCTCTCCAGAAAAAAAAAAAAAAAAAAAAAAAAAATGTTAAAATTAGCCTGGTCTGGCAGGGCATACCTGTGATCTCAACTACTTCGGAGGCTGAGGCAGGAGGATTGCTTGAGCCCAGGAGGTGGAGGCTGCAGTGAACCTCGCAATGATTGCACCACTGCACTCCAGCCCGGACAGCAGGACAAGATGCTGTCTCAAAAAAGGAAAAGAGAAGAGAAAAAATATGCAGGTGCTCTTCCATGAACTAGAAATACATCAGAGAAGACAGTCGGGAACGTCCCTTCTATGCACTGAGATGGAGTCTCTGTCACCCAGGCTGGAGTGCAGTGGTGCAATCTCGGCTCACTGCAACCTCCACCTCCCGGGTTCAAGTGATTCTCCTGCCTCAGCCTCCTGAGTAGCTGGGATTACAGGCATGCGCCACCACGCCCGGCTAATTTTTTGATTTTTAGTAGGGACGGGGTTTTGTCATGTGGGCCAGGCTGGTCTCGAACTCCTGACCTCAGGTGATCTGCCTGCCTCAGCCTTCCAAAGTGCTGGGATTACAGGCGTGAGCCACCGCACACAGCCCAGGATCCTTAAGGAGCTTACATTCTGGTGCAGGTGACGCCGTGAAATCAGCGTACGGCACATCAGCTGCTACTAAACGCCACGGAGGTGAGAACAGCTGGGTCCTCGGGTGACGTCACCGCCTCGGCTCAGCGCCCCGCCATCCACGGGCGTGAAGCTGGAGCTGGGGCCGGCGACCGAGAGCCTTCCTGTCTCCCCTCCCCACCAAGGGGCACATCCCACCAGGCCCAGGACTGCTCGTCTGCCCCGGAGGACGCCCTGCCCTGGTGGTCATCTCGGTGAGCTCTGCTGCCTGGCCCTGGGGGTCTGGGTGAGCATGGCGTCGACCCCTGTGGAGGGAGGACGCGTGTTTGAAGGACAGAGCCTCATTGCCATGCATGACCAGCCGCAGAAGCCTTTGGCAGGGGGGCCGGGCCGGCGGCAGGGACGGCGTTGGTGGAGGTGGACGGGAGTGGGGGTCTGTCCTGAGCAGGTGGGGGTGGTCCGTGTACTGGCCCCCGCCCTGCCATCGCACCCCAGGACGCCGGTCCTCCTCCTAAGCCCCAGCATGTGCCGTGGGCTGCGTGGGTGCTGGTGGCGTGGCGGCATCCACGGAGACGCCCGCTGCCTGTGCACGGCGCCTCCACAGCCTTTTACCGCTGTTCCATTCAGCGCCTTCCAGCACATTCACAGATTGTCCACTGGCACCTCTAGTTCCAGAACATTCCATCACTCCCAAAAGGAAGCCCTGTCCCCATCAGCAGTCACTGCCACCCCCCCCCCCCCCCCCCCCCCCCCCCCACTAATCCCCCCCCCCCCCGAGCCGGGTCCCCCATGGGTCTGCCTCCCGCCTCTGCGGATTGGCCTGTCCTGGATTGATTTCCAATCAATGCAGTCGGATGTCTGTGGCCTCCGGGGCCTGGCCTCTATCCCTGAGCGCCAAGTCGGGGGGACACACGGGCGAGAATCACGAAGCCCAGCGAATGGGCAGATCGTCTGAAAACAGCGCTGAGGAGGGGCGTGAGCAGGGAGCTGTGGGCGTCTGTTCTGGGCTGTGGCTGTGTTTGACCCGACCGGGAAGGCCCTGTCTGAGCTGAGACGGGGATGGGGAGCCGGGGTCAGCAGGGTACAGCAAGGCGAGGGGCGATGACGGCGGCGGGGGAGGGGTGTCTGAGCTTGGTGGGGCAGGAGCCCAGGCTGGCAACGGCCAGACCACACGGGGCACTGAACCGCAAGGGCTGTGTCCTGGCATGCGTCCACGGGCAATAGGGAGCCATGGGAGGATACTGAGTGGGAGCATGGCAAGATCTGGGTTGCAGTTGGAAGGCGCGTCCAGCTCTGCGTGGTCTGACCCTGTGTCGCCCTGCCTCTCCCAAGCCTTGGAAAGTCTTGACTCTGGGCTGCCCCTCCATCTCGACAGAGCCGGATGCCATTATATCCCTGTCCACCCCGTCACCGACACGCAGAGCTGCGGCCAACGGCCGAGCATGGGGAGGCTGAACTGAACACCAGGCACCGAATCAATGTCCACTCTGGAGCCAGGACAAGAACACATGGGTCCCCACCTGAATCGGCTGCTGACCGCCTTGGGCAGAGGCATTGAAGTCTCTGAGCCTCAGTTTCCTCTTCTGCAAAAGGGAACTGCAGGGTCCCAGTCACCTCCCGTGCTGAGCCAGTGGGAAGTCGGCCGAGGAGGTTCCTTCCAGGGAAGTCTCCACTGGGTGCCGGCGGGGGTCAGGAGTCTGGAGTCCCAGGCCCTGGTCTGCTCCTGGCAACGTCTCCACCTCATTCATTCATTCATCCAACAAGCATTCATTCATCCAACAAGCATTCATTCATTCATCAACAAGCATTCATTAATTCATTAATTCATTCAATAAGCACTTAAAAGCAATGCCTGTGCGCCAGGCACTGGTTTTAAGAGAAACAGCACTGAGCAAAACAGACAAATCCCTGCATTCTGTCTACGGGTGAGAGACAGAAGAAACAAGTAAAGCCGACAGTCACAGGGCGGGCCACGGTACGGGGAAAAATAAACCGGGAAGGGGGGCCTGGGGCTGGCAGAATAAAGGCCTCCCCACAGCCAGCCCGTTCTAATCCCCGGAACTGCAGATAAAGCCACCTTACATGGAAACACGGCCTCTGCAGATGGGATTAAGTAGGAATTGTGAGATCCGGAGATCATCCCGGATCATCGGAGGCTGACATCCTTACGGGGTCCTCTCAAGGGGAGGCGGGAGGCTGCGCTCAGGCTGTGAAGGGGGAGGAAGGGGCCCCGAGCCAAGGGACTCGGGTGCCTCTGGACACTGGGGAAGATGGGAACCAGATTTTCACCTGGAGCTCCCAGGAGGGCCCAGCCTTGCCCATGTCCCGTTTTTATTTTTATTTATTTATTTATTTATTTATTTATTTTTATTAAGACAGGGTTTCACCATGTTGGTCAGGCTGGTCTTGAACTCCCAACCTCAGGTGATCCGCCCGCCTTGGCTTCCAAAGTGCTTGGATTACAGGCGTGAGCCACCACGCCCGGCCTTTATTTTATTTTCTGAGACAGAGTCTGGCTCTGTCACCCAGGCTGGAGTGCAGTGGCAAGATCTTGGCTCACTGCAACTTCTGCCTCCTGGTTTCAGGCGATTCTCCTGCCCCAGCCTCCTGAGTAGCTGGAATTACAGGCGTGAGCCACCACGTCTGGCTAAGTTTTTGTATTTTTAGTACATATGGGGTTTCGCCAGGTTGGCCAGGCTGGTCTCAAACTCCTGACCTCAGGTGATCCTCCCATCTTGGCTTCCCAAAGTGCTCGGATTACAGGCGAGAGCCACCATGCCCAGCTAATT